TGCCTTCCACTTAACTGTCCATTAATGTTCTTTGAGACAGCACTCTGAGAACACCCAGCTTCTTTTGCTATCACTTTTTGTGTCTTACCCACCTTGTGCAGGGAGTCAATGATGGTTTTCTGGACAACTGTGAGATCAGCAGTCTTCCCCATGATTGTGAATTATTCTAAACCAAACAAGACACACCAAACAGACTTTTTAAAGGCTCAGGACCCTTTTGCAGGTGTTTTGGATTACTTACCTGATTAGTGTGTGACACTTTGAGCCTACAATACTGAAGAGTTTTTGGTTTTTAGGTTTTAATAAGCTGTAAATCATAATCAGCAAAATTACAACAAAGAAATGCTTGAGATATCTCACTTTGCATGTAATGAGTCTATAGAATGTATTGGTTTCACCTTTTATGTTGAATTGCCTGAATAAAACAACTTTTACATGATATTCTAATTTTCCGAGTAGTACCTGTATACTTGTAACACCACCTCCCATAAGAGCAAACATGCAGTTTGCTAAAGGGGCTTAACATGTAAAGCTGTGTAAACACAATACATTCATCTACACTCCCATAAGATGTATGAAGCAATATTAAAATTGGACCTTCTAACCCATGGGATAAGGCATCAGCCTCAACAATGTCCCCCCCCCTTGTGCTTTATCTCCTGGTTGTAACCTTGCACCAACAGATCCCAACGCAACAATCGCTGCTTGTGACTGAACATCTGGGCTAGAAAGACAAGAGGGTTATGTGTATACAATCACCGGAGCCAACATACACTTCAAATCAATGAAGTCTCTCAGCTGAGAAGGTTAAACTTGACTGAGAAGTAACACACTGGATGGCAGACATCACCTTCACCATCCTGCAGCAGCACAGGACAGCACTGGCTCCTGAAGCACTAGCGTCAACCTCTAGTTTGAAAGGAAAAGAGAAGTTAGGCACAGGCAGGACAGGTGCACTGCAGAGGAGAGACTTAGCTGCTTCAAAGGCATGTTGACACTCATTACTCCACACACTAGGAACACTAGGGCTACACAAGTTGGTAAGAGGAGCCAATACAGAGAAGTTTTTACAAAAATGCCGGTAATATCCAGCCATACCTTGGTATGTTCAAAGGGCTTACCAACAGCAGGAATAGGGTGCAAAGGGGCTGGAGGAACAACCTGATTTGGTTTCCCCACCACTTGGCAGGTGCTACATGTTTTGCAGAAACGTGCTACATCTGCCTTCATTCCTGGCCAGAAGAAATGTTTACAGGATAGGTTTTAGTGACACCAAGATGACCGGACCAGAGCTGTTCATGTGCCAACTCCAATACATGCCGCCGGCACTCAACAGGGACCATTATTTGACACACAGAGCCCCAGTTGACCCCATTATCTACAAAAAATGACTGACTCTCAGTACACTTACTGACGTCTTCAACTGCTGCAAAACATAGTCCCAAACGCTTTAGTTCACACCAAAATGTGGGAACTGGATAGGATCTGCCCATAGCCAAGCTGTTTCCCCAAGTATGTAACGGTGGCTTTACTAAACTCGCACTTAGCTAGATCAAGAGTCAATGGTGCTTCTGCTAGCCGCTGAAACACCTCAGTTAGACTGGCAGTATGATTGGCCAAATCATTTGAGTACACCACTACATCATCAAAGTAACCATTACAGTTGGAAACATTTCCTGGCACCAGATGCATCATACGCTGAAATGTGCCAGGAGAATTTCTCATACCAAATGCCATAACTGTGTACAGCAGGAAGTGGTCAGGGGTTACGAAAGCAGAGATATCAGAGGCTCGGAGCGTTGCTGGTTCCTGCCAGTACCCTTTTAGCAGATCGAGCTTAGTAATGAACAGTGCTGGACCAATACTGTCGTTACAGTCCGCCATGTGGTAAAAATTAAAAAAATAGCCCATACTCTTTTTTTTAGGTTGTTCAATGTTCAATGTGCATATTGCCATCTTTAGTCCCTGAATATACAGTTTCCCCTATGTAGCTCTAAGGTTGTTAAAATCATATTATTCCACACTGTCTGACATCATAGAGAATAGGTGTAATACTGTATTATACATATTCTCTATGATGTCAAACACTTCATTTCCACGGCATGGTGTGGCTCAGCTCAACACGAGTAGTTTGGAACTGTTCTTTTTTGGTTTTCCATTGGCAAAACATGTGGATAGTACCTGCTTTATTTAGTATTACTTTGTTTGAGGTTACAAGGAGCAGAGCCGATACTGAAAGGTGGAAGTAAAAACCCTGCAGACCACTGATTGGTCGGATACAATTGTCACTAGAATTGTCATTTGCACGTCAAGTCAAGACAAGCTGTACCATGCAGTGGAGATGAGGCTTACAAGGAATGTTGAAACTCTTCAATATCTGGTCTCTGGCCTTTATTTATTTAATTTATTCACAATTCTCTAAAATATCTAGTATCTTTGTCTACTTTGGGCTTTGTGCTTTAAAAATTAAAAAAATTCTGTGGGTTTCAACCACCGTGGCTGCACAGCATGTGTATTCACTGCCCCACCAGTGGGTCAATACAGTTTGTAGAAACTAAATTTTCAAGTTTTCTTTGCTTTTTGTTTTGTTTATTATTCTTTTGTAAAAAAGTGTTCTTTCAAACATTGCACTACAACCAATCCAGTTACCTATTAGTAACAATATAGTCACAATATGTAGTCGTACAACCCACTTTTAAATAGCAATGAAGAAGAAATACAATACACAATAAGTCTTGTTGTGTAATTTATGTGTACAAACTAGATTGTGAAATGTAAATTCATTCATTCAGTCACAATGAAGACTTCAATATTGCATCCCAGAAAGGTGGTGGATGTTTTGGCAGCTATGCTCAAGGGCTTCTGAACAAGGAGGAATGACATCCGCTTTCTCTTGTCATCTTCATAAGAAGAATCAGGGTCTTTCATTAAAATGTTAATGATATTTCAATGAACAGATGGTGCAAAGGGCAAACAGCCAGGATGAACAAACACAGGAAGCCAAATGAGTGGGTCATATCCTAGCCAAGTGCGTCGTTCTACATGTTAATCACCAGCAGAGAACAACAGATTATGTTCTTGATGGATGCAACAAAAGTAGAAAGTAATTGTTGCATGCCAAGAAAATAATCAGAGACAGGACTCAGACCAAAAAAAAAAAAAGATTAAAAAACATGAATGGCACTTATTATAACTAGCCAAGCATCCTCTATTCCCTGCACTGGGGTGCATTTGGGGATGTGTTCTGAGACCAGGGTACTTTATTAAAAAATATTGCCTCCTTGTGCAAGTTGCTGCCCTAGGTCAGGGAGTACCTCTGGTGGTACTGATGCCTTTTTTATTAACTGTAACAATGAGCCTTTCCCTAACTAAAGTGTTATAATCGCCTCACCTTACGTGAGGATCACACAGCATAAGTGAGCAGCACATGTGCGTCACGGAACATCTTGCTTTCTATTTTGGTGTCATATTAACAGGTTAGAGCAGCCACACTGTCTTTGTAAGCCGTACGTGTCACAAATTAAGACTTTTAAAATCATTGGACTAATCTAGAATTTGGCAGAATCTTATCTTATCATTATTGTCTGGCGATACAGTTGGCAAAGGAAGGAACTGAGGATAACGCTGGAGAGAGGGACATCTCTGCTACTGTACCTGTGCAGGTAGTCGAAGATGGATGGATGGATGGATGATGGACAGATGTTGGATTTTGACTATGAATGTCTGTCTCTGCATTTGCAATTTTTTAAATCCAAGTAAATTGAGAATGACTAAGTATAGTTCTGCTGATAAGATCATTAGAAGACAAAATGGATTGGTCACTTTCGTTGAGTCACTGCTTGTGACTGCAAATAAGTTAACTGCCAGCATCTGCATCTCGGATTCATTAACAGAAACCGCTGTGGTAGCGCCTAATGTCTTTGCCAACTATTCAATGTTCAAGTGTCAACAAAAAAACAATGTAGTTCTGCAGGTTTAGGAAAAAAGAAATTCAAATAATTGCTGGTGTGTTACAGAGCTTTAGTGACATTGGCCTTTAAAACCAAACCCAGACAGAAGTTTCTCTCAGTAATGAGTCTTTTTATCGATCTCTGTGCAGTGCACTTAGAGTACTGTCTCGATAAGACAAAAGCTTGCCTTACTCATAAGAAATCAGGCTTGTCTGGACATCCTGTGCTTTAAGGTGTAAGGTTGGAAGATACGTTATTTGTCATGATAATGCCAGCTCACTCTGTTCCATCATCAAACCTCCTCATAACAAAGAAATTACCCAAAATCCTTGAATGTTGAGAAAATAAACACAACAAATGAAATGGAAGGGTACAGGGATACAAGGTTATTTGTCATTTTACAGCACAGGGTTGTGTTATGAAATTTAGGTTGTAGTTCCTTATACTTCTTGTAAAAAAATATAAGTATATATACAAAAATGATATATAATAAAATTGATTAATAACTGATCAAAAATAGAAACTATTTTACATAATGGAGTGCTGAGGATGAATTAAGCATTCTCACAGCCTGAGCGAATAGGTTCTCAAGTATGGTGGTACTATGGCTGTACCTGCTTCCAGATGGCAGCAGGCTGCAGGCTGTGGCTAAAGTGGGTACGGTCTTTTAGTATCCTCAGGGGTTTGCACAGGCTCCTCACCTCACTGAGGCTTGGTAGATGTGTACTAACTGTCTTCTTTTTTTAAAAAGTCTGTTTTTGTGTTTCATGCTCATTTAACATTCCATTGGTGTTTTTGACATTTAACATCAACATGGAATGAAAATATAGCTATCAAAACATACCATAGATCCACTCTGTTTCTCTGTGATACATTGTTTGTTGAAGGGACAGAATGTATATTAATTCTAAAAGAAAAAGAAATGAAAGAAAGAAGGTCCAACTAATACACTGATGTGATGCTGAAAGCTAGCTTTCTTCAGAAAATATTTGGCCATTCATTTTATACAGAGCCAAAATGCCAAAATGCAAAAATGCGAGGAGACTGAACTGTCTTGGAAAAGAATTTTTATTTTCAAATGCTGGTAAGGTGTCCATTGAAATCCAGAGAACAAAACAAACACACAGTATTTACTGAAACAGATAGAAAATTGATATTATTATCACAAACAAAATTATTGGAGCCCTTTCATTTCCATCACAGAAATACACAGCTCATAGACCAATTATTCTACAGTTGAAGAAACGACATTGACCAGTTGAAAGCTCTGAATGGCATACAAACACTTTGATGTAGATTAAGCTGAGGACACATTCTACAAAGTAACAACACAAACGGCGTGTGCATTTCTTTCTACTGTAAAAGGTACACACTGGCCAGCACAAACATTGTTATATGACAGGTCAAAACTGCACACACAGATAGACGCTTCTGTAACAAATTAACCTACAATAGTATAAAAAAGACTATTCTGTCAGATGCAAATACAGTATGCAAAATTAAAAACAAGTCTCTATCTAGAGTAAGTCAAGTATTAGTTGCAAACAATTATTTGTGTTTCTTTTAACCTGTTTGAACTACGAGATGAGTGGGAATCACCACAGGAGGACAGGTACAGTAAGTTGTCAATCACAGAAAAGCAACAATCATTTTCAATCAACTTTTCTGTCATTGTCTCCTGGCACTCGTTCTTGTCCGTTCTTGGAAAAATCCACCCATCTGAGAAATTGGGCTTTGACGCCTTTATGACTCAGGTCCCCTGCCCTGCACAGAAACTGGCTAGGCATACGCTGTAACTGCCTTTGAGTTCTGCAATGGCGGGGGGGGGGACCCGCGCGAGGACATGACACTCAGTTGTCCGACTTTGTGCACAGTGCTACGGTGTAGAAGTCCCCGAGAGTAGGCACTTGGACACAATCAACTCCTGACCAGCAACATAACCCATAAGCAGTTAAATACATAATCAGTTTGTGTTGTGCTACAATCAAATCAACAGTAGTTATGGTTGTGACGTTTGAATTCAGCTATTTGTAGTTGCTGTGGTTCACAAATAACATAAACCATGTGGTGTCTGTTGACACATCTGGATGTTGACATTCAACATAAATACATTCATACATAGAGTAAATCTGGACCCCACTCTGAACAAAGCTGCACTAATCACTACTTTTTGATATTTAACTTCTTTGTGATGTTTTTTTTTCTCCTGTGATGTAACTGACTCCACCAGGATGTAATAAAACATAGAGCTGTACTTCTGTATGCTGTACTGGATAATACACCAGTGGCAGCTGTAGTCCTACACAGGAAATAATGAACACAGAGAAAACGACATTGTTACCATACATGTTTTTGCATGTTTCTTTAACAACCGTGACATTCACAACACACTGCAGTTGATTTCTAGCCATCTTCCCAGCACGCTACTACTGCATCAGCTGTATCACACAGGGCTTTAATATTGAATCAAATGACAATGTGCAACGTAAAAGGGGTCACAGAGCACTATCACTCAGCTGTGAGCTTTTTTAGCCTCTTTTAGGCTCATTAATTTGGTTGTTATGGCTCCCACATTAAGGCTGGAATTATGCTTTACTGGGTTGCACGTAGGAAAACGCGCTCAGGGGTTTGGATATGCTGACTCAAACAAACGTTGCTGAGATCCAGGAGGTGTGTGCATCTGTTCCTCTGCGAGCCCCTGTGATCGATGTCTCTCAGTTGTGATCGAACCCTGCTGTTATCAGCACTGATAAACACTGATAAACCCACTGCACACTACCTAAACCACAAACTATACAGGCAAGGGAGGAAAAGTTTAACATCTAGACTTTTTTTTTTCTTTTGGAGTTGGCGGAGACAAAAACACATTTTAACAGGGAGTGAATACTAGACTTACAATAATCAGGTGAACACACGACTTCAAGGGGATGATCATTTCGCTGCATGGTTGCTATGAATGAGAATCTCCAGGATTTTGCAGGCTTTTTGGGGGATTGCTGCGGCCTAAAATGCCTGATTTCACAGCAGCTTTTCAAAAGACTTTCAATGATTGTTGCAGCGTTCTGTTATTTTTTATATTGAAATTGCAAAAGTGAAAACTGGACTGGTAAAACACGCATATCTTCACAGTGTGCAAAAATTATGAGTTCATATATTGAGAATATGACAATTTGTAGTGTGCCAAATTGAAAATAAAAAGATTTGTTCGTCAAGTTCACCCCTCTCAGTCTAGAGCCTTCGATGCTAGAATAGCCAGGTAATGAAGTAGATGTGTTAACATTCTTGGCAAGGTATGACGAAATGCTTATTCAGACCATTTCTCGGATTCAACACATCAGAGCTGCAAGAGTATGGCAACTTTTCCTTGTTTGACTACATTTTGTCTTTAATGTGACACAATGCAGCGGTTGCAGAGTAACCTTATTTCCTGGATCAGTAGTTTCATGTGGAAGGTTTATTGGAGGCAGGGCTGTTATGCATGTGTTATGCAAACTGAACGTCAGCACCTTGCCCTACTTCATATATTATATTAGCCAAAGCCTCGTAAAAATGCCCTTTACTTTGACAGTGCCACATGAAGAACGTAAATCAATCAATACAAAGTAACTGGGAGACACAGTCGTCCTCCTCATTCGTCTCAGTCCAAATTCAATCACGCTGTGGATCGACACCCGACTGGGAACATTTATCTCTCTAGTCTAGAGGTTTCATCTGTGACTTGAATGTGACTTTAAGTATTTTCTTTATTTTGTGCTATCACTGTTTCCCTGTCTGGTTGTAGAGCTAGATTAAAGCATATTTAAAATCTAAATATATGTTTTAGACCTCCACAAAAAAAATCCTTCATAAGGCTGAAAAAAATCAAAAACTACCCATTTTGTTCCACTGAAAGACCTCAAATAATGTGCTCAGAAACTCTGAGTGAGTATGTGTTGTAAAGGCTTTTAAGTCATTTTGTACATAACCAGAAATGTACTCACGTATTTACAGACACACGCACACACACACCACATCTTCTGAGCCGTGGCCCTGCTAGAGAACAGTGCTGATGGTGTCAAAGTCTTTGCTGATCTGGGAGCTGCTGGGCAGTGACTTGAGGTACTCCAGGTGCCTCCTAGCGTCCTCCTGATTGTGTCTCACGTAGTAGATGACGTACGCGATCACCATGGTGAACCATCCGAACATGGTGACGAACATGGCTACGTCGGTGGTCTTGTGGTGAAAGTTGCAGAAGTTGATCCCTGAGTCCAGCACCTGGATTACCGGTTTGCCTGCATATTCCTCCTGCACCGCTGTATGGCAGATCACCTCATTCACAGTCTCGGGGTCCAGCCGCAGCTCCCTCAGGACCTCCTGCAGTGTACACTCACAGTGCCATGGGTTGTTCGAGAGGCTGATTTTCGCTCGTAGACGGGCGAATGCCTCTTTGGGGACACGTTGGATGCGATTGTTCGATAGATCCAGGACAAGGAGGCTGTCAGAAACGCCTTGAAAAGCTCCGACGTCCACCGTCTCGATGTCGTTGTTAGACAGGTCAAGCTCCTGAAGGTAGTGCAGTTCTTTGAAGGCGTGGTTGGGGATGTGCGTGATGTGGTTCGATGCCAAAAGTAGGACGACAGTATCTCTTGGTAGATCTGATGGGATCTTCTCCAAGTTGCGAGACATACACTGGACCACGGTCATGCCACTCTTCTCTATACAGTGACAGCTGGTTGGACAAGCCATCACTGGTGCATTTGCCATGAATAATCCAAAGAGCAAGCCCCATAAGAGGCCAAAGCCATCAAATATAGGGGATTTCCTGGGCATATCAGGCCCCACTATGTCCTGCATATTCAGCAGCAACCTCCCACAAGTCCTGTCATGTAAAAGCAATCATAGTTCCACCTACTTCTTAGCATTAAATTGGGATGATTGCGGCTTCATTAGCTTTTAAAATGCTGAAAATATAAGTTTATTCACACAAACATGAGGGCTTATCTTGAGAGAATCCTTCAAAATTGATTTGATAGAGTTTCATAAGAATCTTTTGAAACAGATTTCAAAAGAGCTCATCCAAAAATTGAGCTGCTCACTGAGCGTATTCCAGCAGGGAACTGTAATCTCAGGTTTATTGTGAGGACGTTGAATGCTTCAGAGAGTAGGAGCGGGGCAAGCAACACTGGAATCAACATGTCAGGTTGTGCGCTGAAAAAAAAAAGAGAAAACTGTGTTACTCTTGAGCAGAAAAAATAATCATTAGTTCTTCAGCACGGGAGGAGACGGCGTACGGTTGCTGTCAGAGTGCACATGAAAATCAAAATTGTCCAGACACTGACTCTCTGGCTAAAATGGGTCCTTTTCTAAGTGCACACGCAATCGTCTTTATCTTCCCAAATTGTGCTGAGTAAATGCTATCCCCACAGTGTTTACAAATGTATAATGTGATTATTGAGAAAAATCCATTTCACTTTAGCAAATCTCATAAACCGGCAGGCACACTCATGGGTCATTGCCAGAATTTTCTCATTCAATTAGGAAAACCTAATTTTGTTCTGCATCGTCTATAAACGACACATGAAATTATTTTCCAGTGCATATCAATATTAATTACATTATCCCATAGCTGGACAAAGAACAAAAAAAGACCCACAACAATAAAAAAAGCTCATCTTCCTGTGACAATGAGGAAAAGCTTTTCTTTTTTTTTTCTTTGCACAGCCCCCCTCATCTCAAGGACTGCTGTCTCTCATTCACAGGCGCATGATGAGAATAGCAGTGGGCTCTAAAATGACTCCCTCTGTCCTGCAGGAGGATCATCACTTTAGGACTGCGCACCCTCTGCTGGGCTGAACTGATCACACAATGGACCCCTCGCTGTGTTCGAGGTCATGCGCCCCGCGAAGCCGTGTCTTCTTCTCATTTTTCTTTTTTCTTTACCTTTTGTCTTTGGCAAGGGCTTCCTATCTTTGGACCACATGCACATGCTCTTAAATAAAGCCCTTGGCGTTGTGATCGGTATGAGCACAGTGGGAGGTGTGGACAAGATGTGGCATCTACACTTACAAGGGCGGCTGTAGCGCCCTGCGGTTATGTTATGACACCACTATGCTATATATATATATATATACTGTATACATTAGGGCTTACACATGCACATTGTAGCCCACTGCAGCTTGTCTGAGCTGTCATTTCCAAAACATTTTTTGTAGTGATATGTTAAAATGAAATTAAACGGCTCTTAAATAGGCGACATCAACAGATGTTTTCTTCAGGAAAATGTCAGTTAAAAGACTAAACACAGCCTGGCACCAAATTTAGGAAAGTAAGCATGTGATTATGATAAATAGGGATGTTATGAGAACGTGTAGAGGCAAGAAAACCTTTGGCAAAGATTAAAATTGAACCCGGCTAATGGTGCCAAAGTGTAAGAGTAAACAGTATAACAGCGTTTTGTAATTGTGTGGGTTTAAATCACATGAACATGTGGCTCTGTGGTTTTAAAATGTTACACCGGCACAAACAAATAAGCTACACATGGGATGATAAGTTAATAACTTCTTGTAAACGTGAGGTTACTTACCGGGACAGAGTTTGAGCTCGGAGTGCATTGATAGCTGTTTGTTATCCAGCCTCTGTGGCGGCGGGGAAGCTGCTGTAAAGCGGAGATATGGTCGATAGTGCAGCAGTAGTTCGCTCATATCACATCTGTATCAGCGCCGACAGAAGCCTGAACCTCTCGGAACATAAATACTAAAACATTCTTTAAAATAAAAAGTTCAGTCGGCTACTTGAAGCAGTCCACACTCCCGCGAGGGAAAGAACAAAACGCTAAAGTTCCGGTACGCGGGGAAGTTATCCGGTCTCCGAGTGAAATGATTCATATTTCCAACTGTGGCGCTTTTTGTGTCTCCTCAGAAACACAACACGGCATTCACACCTGTTGATGATAGTAATGGTGGCGGTGGTCGCGTTCCGGGAAGGTCTCGAGGAGCCGCACCGGTCCGACTCAGCACGCGCTTCTCTGACTCCGCGCGCGCATGGCGCCAGAAGGAGTCCCGGTTGCGCGTGGACTGGACTGCTGTTCTGCTGGCAGCTCTCCTCGTCCTCCAGGTCCCCCGCCTGTCTGTCTGTCTGTCTATCTGTCTGTCTGTCCTCCTCCCCTAGCTGCCCTGCCTGCACCTCCCCTCTGCTCCATACCCTTCTCTCCCCTCTATCTCTCCCCTCTGTGCCTCCCTGTCTCTCCCCTCTGTCTCCTCTGTCTCTCCCCTCTAAGACAATTAACCAAACAAACAATATTAAATCCGAAAATTGTTCCTGGATGCGAAATAAAAGAGGACAATTTGTCTTGACAAGTGCTCTAGTAATGACTTTTAAAATGAATTAAGTAAAAAAAGAAAAAAAAAGGATTATTTTTAAAGGCCAAATTAGGCTCTTAAACGTTTTTAATTGAGTGTTCCAATCATTCGTTTTAAATTGTTTTAAACAAGTATTATAAAATGCCGTGACAAAGTCATAATTAAAGTCTGCTTTCGGAATCAGTTGTCGTGTAGAACATCCCGCCTCAAGACCTTGTCCGTGTCACATCAAACTGTGATCTATTGATTATTTTAATCACTCCAACTGCTGTATCACACAGACTATCAAAGGGCCGGGATGTTAGGGATTAAGGCTGCGCAGCAGTGGATCAAAATGTCAGCTTTGACTTGTGCACTGTATTCTGGTGGTAATTGCCCTTTTCAAACTGCAGAGGCTTATCCCCCACTCACAAAGTGCATGGGGAATTAGCTATATGCGTTGGGTTTGTCTTTCTCTTTAATGGAACATGACTTTCTGTGACTGCATCAACCACCTTGCACGCCTGCATAATATAGCAGCAAATGAACACTCTCTCTAACTGACCTATTAGTGGTGTGTCTTTTTATGAGAATGTCATAAAGTTGTTATGCAACAATTTCCTGCTGGACCGCAGCAATAAATGCAAAGTCTGTCCCTGACTTACTGAGTGAATGAAGTTATTGGTCTTTCGAAATGAATGAGCTGAACAGTCCTCAATTACGCCCTCAGGCTAACACTGACTATACAGCCATATGCTAGGCTTCCACCTTGTCTTGTTTCATGTGGAACTATACTTTATATATAGTATAAACACCACCCGCCCTCTTGCTGGAGGAGCGTCAACACCACAGTGAGTATAACTGCATGACAAATAAGTTTGGATCCTTTAACTCTAACAGACTGACTATATGACCGCACAGTTAATGGAGCTTTCAGCATTGCTGTTTTTTGTTTCATGTCATTAGGAGAACTTAATTAGGAGACACTGTTGAGGCAACTTACATTGCACAAGTCTCACAGTTGTTCATCGAATGTACTGCTCTACATGTACGACTGCAGGTTATAAAACACAGTGTCATGTCAATCTTCCAGATAACCTTGATAAGAGCAAAATAGATTCTGCAAATATGGGCTGAGAAAACATCCATCACTGTCCGGTATGGATCAGCCACCAAACATGACAGGAACAGACTACAGCGGACAGCCAGGACTGCAGAGATCATCACTGGTGCCAGCCGGCCCTTCATTCAGACCTAATACATGTCCAGGGTCAGGAAACGGCCAGAACCATCACGACCTCAACACAACATGTTCCAGCTTCTGCCCTGGAGCTACAGAACACTGTACACCAAAACAACCAGACACAAGAATTATTTCAGTTATGGATAATATTATAGATAATATTATTACAGTTTAAAATGCACTATTTTAACATCATCATGCACTGTCACTGTCAATACAAATACAAATCCTGCAGGCTGTATATACTGTATATATACCATGTACATCCATAATTCCAAAAAACAGTTTATTATGTTGTTGGTGGCTTTTGTAGGCTAAATATTTATTTTCACATACCTTTGAACATAGTTAATAAATACAGGGGAAGAATAGACAAGCCTGCTGTTATGTCTGTTCCTGTGTAAGTATATTGAGAGAAATGTTAAAATACACATTCCTTGTATGTGTACACATACGTGGCCAATAAAACTGATTCTGATTCAGAAAAGTGAGTTTAACCAACCGCTTCAATTCCATTTGCTCTAGCCCCATGTGATATGAATGTAGGTCAGCTGGTCCCAAGGTTCCAGGTGTCATTTGAGCTGCCGAGTGCAAGTTTTTCTTGTGGCCAGTCCTGCCACAGTCTCAGTCCCACAGTGTGTGCCAGCTGGCATAATGAATTGTGCTATATTAGGTACTGAACTCTCGAACTTGGTGTAGGATAGCGCACTATAATGCCTTTTGGAATTGGGGCACACAAATTGTTCGTCATGTAATATATCCACTACAATAAATTATATGTGTTTGACATATTTGTAACCAACTTTATAATTGTCTCATAATGACCTCACTGTGATACTTATATCACATACATTTAAATACATTTCATACACTAAATGTCAAATTATATGGAATTAGTTGGTCAAAGTAATGATATCTCAAAGCAGCACAAATCCATAATTTTTTATTTTATGATGGATCAAATGACTGTAAAGCTGAAGGGAACTGCAGTGTGATCATTCTCTATGGGTTTGTCACAACATGTAAACCCTTTTACTACGCAAAGAGTTTTTTAACTTTTCTTTGTTTTTGTTTTAGAGCTGTTTGGTTGAGTCTCAATGCTCTCATAAACCTTGTTTCTACCCATTGCACAAAGCTGCTTTCAGTAAAAAAGAAGCTCTGATCCACTACTGGTCTAGCACCAAATAGCCCACAGTTGGAGACTTGCTTGTGAACGTAGTGAAGCATTTAACAGCTAAAGAGCCAGATATTTCCCTCAAGAGTTGGTGGAGACCAAACAAAGCTAAAAGTACACCGATGGGTAATTTTGAGAAAAGGAAAATCTTTATAAGAAAGATTAAATTATATTGGATGATAAAAAAAAAACTTAAATAACATCTTGGACATGTTAGTAGGCCCTCAGAGAATTAGCGTATGTGACCAACTTAATTTTAATGTAAAAATGTGAACATCATAACTCAGGTCACTGCACTACAGTATGCGGCAACTTTTGCTATTGGCTGTTCACTTAGTGTTCTGCGATACACAAGCAGGCAAGCTTTTGGGCTTCAGATTTTGACAGCTCCATTATTTACTGTCTCTGGAAAATTCTATTAGCTCTACAGGCAGTGAAGAAAAAATGTATCTTTTCAATAGCACCACAAAACACTGGCTGTAGGCCTTAACACACCAATCTAATATTAGGGTGCACAGCTGTTATCATGGAAGTACACTAGGGAATCAGTACTGTGCAGATGAGGTCTAAATGTAAACAAATCCGCAAAGCAACTGAAAGGCATGGACTCAGATATAAACTCTATTGATAATATCTTCCCTTTTGATTAGATTTCGTTAGATTTTTTTAGTCCAGCCACATTACATCTAACTGAATCAACCAGCTACTGACAAAGAGGAGTCAGCCTATGGCCTCAGATGGCTGAACAAAGATGCTATCTTCCTCCCGTTCTTTGCATTTTGTAGTGGAAGTCATGTTGTTGGAGTGAGAATGCAAGTGTTTAGATAAAAAGGCGTTCATTTTTAAATTTACCTATCTGCTCTACACAGAAGAGGTAAGCCCTGATTGTCACACAGTGTGCAAAATGAATTTCCCTGCTAGGATAATGAAGTTTCCTAAGATTCATGTGATCCCTTACAGACAGTTCATAGGCGAAAAAATACACAGTCCCTGCACTCAGGTAGTCTGGCACCAGAGAAACTTTGAGACTTAAACACCCATTTATTGTTATTTTAACCTGCGTCATAACCATAACTATTGGGAGTTAGCCAAAAGGTCCATTAATAAAGATTTTGCAGCGTAATGCTGTAAAAGCACTTGAGTTGATGCCTAGACCGATAACAAAACCCACAGACTAGTGGCAAGCTAAACAGGGAGTCATCATCAATTCAGAGTGTCAATCTGGCTAAATCACACAGCATTATTTTCATCTGTTTCCTCCTTTATATACCCCACACTACTGCTAATAATCACCAATCCGTCATTCACTTAGTCCCAACAAAGGAAGACTCCAGCAGCTATAAATATGTTACATTAGGACAAAAAGGCCCAAAGATATTTAAATTGAACACAAAAGCTTTACTCAGAGACAACACAAGCAGCTGGAGGAAGGATTTTATCTTACGACATATCTGCTGAGCTGGATGGTTCTCACCCAAGCGTATCCACAGACATCCACACACAAATTTCCCCCTTTGTTTGACTAGATAAAGGGTCATAATAGGGCTCACTGGTGGTTTCATTCTGCCAAAACACACACTTGCTACAACAGAAAATGGGAGGACTGTGGCGGGGAGATAAAAGAAAGCCAAGGTCAGGGATTTGGAGCACAGCTGTTACGGCAGCAGCAGAAATACCACGCATTTTGCTGCCAGAGAGATGCAGCAGGTTATTCACGTCAGCGACTTGGGCTAACCTTCCTCAATCACTTTAAGGGGCCGGGCACTAGAACACAGAGGTTGGAGGGTGTGCGAGTAAGTGGCTATTCATCTAGATGAACAACAGCACAGGTTTACCCCCATATCAATTTATCGTGATTAATGTGGCCACAGTAGAATTTCCTCTATGTCAGGATTTTTTATATTTTTCTTCCTGTAAAAGCGTGTTTTTGTCCTAAATGCTTTTTGAGGGTATGAGGCTGGTTAGTGGGATACTGTGAATAAGATGCCATTATTCCACATTTGTCCCATGATTAACACCCTGGTGGAGTGTTTCTAATGATGACCATCTATTTATATTAAGTACAGTTTAGGACAAATTCGACTAGTCCCTGCCTATAATTGTCCCTGGGACAACTAATAACACAAAACACATTCATTCAACTCTGCCAAGAGCCAGGGGAGATGGGCTGCTTATGTATTACCAGTTGGTTGCGATGCTGAAGATGAAGGAGTGAGCTGGGTTTGCTGTGTGTGTGTGCTGGCATGGTAGAATTTACTCGCAGGCAAAAACCACAGGTCCAGTTGTCACCAGGAGGCCTTTCCCCTTATCTTCCTGTTCACCTGCCCCTTAATGGATCTCCAAATTCTTTAGAAGAGACAAATTACCCGTGTCCGCTGCCTCCAGTCAGTTCATCCTCCTGTCACCTACTT